TCCTAGTCTGTGAACTTCATTGGTTCCATCCACTGTGTTTCTGACGACGAGAATCGATTTTCCAATGTAAGAATCCTTAGGTTTTACAAGATATTTCCGGCACCTTCGGTCAACATCTTGTTTTAATGTACCTACAAGTATTTCATTCTTTCAATCATTCTAACCTAAATAATTTGTGTTCTAATATAAATCTATAAAAGATACAGAACACTTTTCTTCATTAGAGGACAATTTCACAAACAAATGCAAGAGTTATTTAGAAGGAAAAAAGGCCAATCAGGGTATTTCGTAGAAAGAAAGAACGCCTCTGAATAAAACTGAAGTTTTAAAGAAACTGAGAATTCTGCTATCTGCATATAGGTAGATACAAAGGAAGAAAAAATCCAAACACGTGCAGAAAATATAAAGAATTTAATTAATAAGATTATATAAACCAAACGATATTACAGTGTAACTCATTTTATAAATCAGCATTGTTTCTGAAACCCTTTAATTTTTTTACCAGTTTACATATATTCGATACAAAACATTGAGAAAAATTTATTTCAAATCATCAGAGATGAGTTAAATGTGGTTAAGCTTTACACGGTAAACAATTAACCGCATAACTACAATTTTTTTTACGTGTTAAACATGGGGTAAATTTTAGAGAAACTCTACATTCTAACAAATCATAAGGACAAATCAACAAATTAACTCTGCATTACGTACATCAACGCTTCCCGTTCTTTACAAATAATCTCTTTGTGATAATTATAAAAACAGTTTCTATCGGCAGATCTACATAGCGCCACATCGCACGAGTCACAACCATGATAAGACCTGAGGATACTACCCGTGGCCCCTCGGACGTTATGGATTCTGCAGTACTGACAAGTGATTCGTTTTCCATTTAAACCCTCGAGCTTGTGAATTTCTTCGGTTTGGTCCGCCTTGTTTTTGATGACGAGAACCGAATTTCCCGTACTTCTTGAAGGTGCTTTGAGCTTTGGTAAATCATCTTGGAAATTTACATTAAATTCTTTCTACCTCTACCTGAAAGAATTCCATTTAAAAAAGTTTAAAAAGTTTGTGCTCGTAATTTTGCCTCAATCGCTAATAGAATGTTGTTCCATTTATTGAGAAAGAAGAAACAATACAAAAGATCTTTACAAATGACACTAGTATACAGGTTTTGGAAAATACTTTAACTTGTTAATAATATCCATTGGCTACGCTTTAAATCATTAAATTTATGTTTTCTTTTTAAAGAATTATTAATTCTCCGCTAAATAAAGAATCCGCTGCATATAGATATCGTGTCATATGTTTGCTGGTTGGGTAAGGAATGGACGGGTGGGTATCTTCTCTCATGACACAAACTACCTCAAATGATCTCATCGATCTTAAAAAGAATTACTTTGTATATACATTTTATTTTGTCTCTCGATTTCTCTCCTCGGATCAATCATGTACAAAATTACCATATAGAATATTGGATTGTATTTTCTTTAAAACGCTAAATAAAAAATAACTGAAATTTTAAACGCAATTTAAATCTTTAATTAAGCAAAGGTCATCAATGTTTAAAGGATGACAAAACACACTCAATACTGTTTTCATTTACATCAATTTTCTTGAAAACAACCTTTAAGGTTTTTAAAAAGTTCACTTTCTTAACGTCAAAATTGGGTAAAAATCAGTCATCTGACGGATATAAAGTAGTCTTTATTTTTCCTCTTCGAAGGTCAGTTGCATTTGATCCTTTTCAAATCCATCATCAACCAGGATGTACACGTTGTTCGCAAACATATCCGATTTTTGGTAATGGAAAAAAGTGGGGACGAAATATTCATTTCTCTAATGCGCAAACTTCCCCTTCTTTTAATACATACACATCCCCTTTCATTCCATTAAAAACAACCTCAGTGTGATAGTTGTAAAAACAATTTCTCTCCGAGGGGCGACAAAGCGCAACACCGCACTTGGTACAGCCATAATAGGACCTCAGAATCCTCACCGATTCCCCCTTAAAGGCGTACATTTTGCAATACTGACAGGTGATGCGTTTGCCTTCCAAGCGTTCTAGCTCGTGGACCTCGTTTATTTCGTCCGCCTCGTTTTTGAAGATTATAACCGAACTTCTAATTAAAGGTGGCTTGACTGTAACCGATTCACCTGGAAAATATCCATCAATATCTTGATAATGTACACCTGAAATTATTTATTTTCTTAAAATAACATTTAGGAAAGTATTTGTGTTGAAGTCCCAAAAAGGTACTTACACATAGCGTTATTAATTAATAGCAACCATTGAGAAGTCAACAAAGTAATTAAACACACACACACACACAAACACTCAATTAGTTCATTATGAACAGTACGTGTATGTACAAAAGAGAAATAAAATGTGCCTCACAACAAATTCAGTTATCCTGTGATGAGAACAAGTTTAATTTTCAAACAAAAAGAAAATTTAATGTTTAAGTCAAAGTAACACCAGAAGAAAACACATTTTCAACGGCCAGGAAAAAACAGAAAATTCTTTTCACAACAAAATAAAACAAATTAAGACTTTCAGGGTAAATGGCATGGAATGAACGAAAACAATAATGCAACATTCATCTCGTAAAAGGTTATTGACTGTTTCAGACGAAGCAATAAAGATTGTCCTGAATACTAGTTAGTTAAGGTTCTGATGAACAACTTCAAGACATATGTTTACATCTGTTTCATTCTGGACAACAAACAAGACATTTTTTTTATCTGGAAGAATTTATTAAAATAAATACAGTATAGCAAAAATAAAGGCTACGTTGATATAATGAAAGAAAAAGTGAGCTAGCTCACATACCCCACGCTCCCCCTTAACTTGATGGTGAAACACATAATGAAAGGCACAGTGCACTTTAAATACATAGTATAGATCAAAAAGGGCAATAATTGCAAAAAAATCTTCACATCAAAATGTCTTGCATATGAGGACATTTAAATGTGGAATGAAGTTTCTAGATAAATAATGGAATCAAAATTTCTTGGCATTATACAAATCCAAACATTAATTTGAAGTGGTTGGGGGGGGGGGGGGTGGGGAGAAATTTTTTGAATAATAGGCAAAACTCTTTGGGATAAAATGATGGAATGTGTCCTAAATATCTGCATAGGTTGACGAAACTATGTACAACAGTTTAAGAGGAGTGGTGCTGACAAACTGTTCATCTCTATATTCAAAATATGGCCAAAAAGTCTAAGTTGGAAAGTGTGGAAATTCCCAGAAAAATAAAGGAATCGGAATTTCCTTGTAATATGCACATCTACATATTGTGTCCTAAATATCTGAAAAGTTTGACGAAATTCTGTGCAGCGGTTTATGAGGAGTTCCGCTGACAAACTGTTCATCTCTATATTCAAGGTATGGCTAAATGCCTAAGTTAAAAAGTGCGGAAATTCCCGGAAAAAATAATGGAATCGGAATTTCCTTGTAATATGCACATCTACACATTGTGTCCTCAATACCTGCAAAGTTTGACAAAATTCTGTGAAGCGGTTTATGAGGAGTTGCGCTGACAAACTGTTCATCTCTATATTCAAGGTATGGCCAAATGCCTAAGTTAAAAAGTGCGGAAATTCCCGGAAAAAATAATAGAATCGGAATTTCCTGGTAATATGCACATCTACACATTGTGTCCTAAATACCTGCAAAGTTTGACAAAATTCTGTGCAGCGGTTTATGAGGAGTTGCGCTGACAAAAAAAGAGGACTGACTGACTGACTGACTGACGGACTGACTGACGGACGGGTCAAAAACATTATACCTCCCGCAACTAGTTGCGTGGGGTATAATTATAACTTAAAGGGTTATTGTAAAAACGGATTCTATTTCTTGCGATTTTCAAACAACACATTGTAGTCATATAACTATACATTAATGTTAAACTACAGTATATTTGTACACTTAGAAATCACAAAATCCTCATCCATAGTTGGAATCACAACGTTGTGATAATTATAGAAACAGTTTCTTTGGAGGTCCTTGCAAAGAAAAACTCCACAGAGATCACACTTGTAGTAGGATTTACGGATTTCTCCACTAGCAAAGGTCGTCCTTGTCATCTTACAATATGTACAGTGTCGAGCGGAGGGTTCGCCGCCTCGAATCAACTGATGGACTTTTTTCTTTTTCGGATCTTTTTTATTAGACACTTCAAGGCTTGCCCGAATAACAGGATCCTTTCTTGTACATTGGTTATGCTGTGTGGAGTCCTTTTTAGGTTTTGGTGCTTTTTCATACTCTTTACTTTTGGACACTTTCACCATTATGGGTAGCTTCTCTGAATTCATATCAATGCCTGAAAGACATGTTTTTCGTCATTGGTTGTGATCAGTATTTAATTTAGTGTTTACATGTTATGGCTTTTATAATTATTATATATATCTCTTGGATTGGTATGAATTACGTTTATTCGGTAGCAATTCTCAAAAGTGCATGTCACAGAGAAAAAGATTTCTGGAATAATTTAACGACATAGGATTCAACAAAAGGATAGAAATCCTGTCCATATATTTAAAGTCGTATATTTAGATCAAAGATTTTCCCTATCCAACCATCACTGTTTATTCAATCTCTATTGATACCTGATATTAATATTCATAATAAATTTCAATGCAATATGGTAAAAAACAAATCCTGCCATTATAAATTCCCTACAATTTAACCATGAACAAATTATTTTAAATCTAAAAGTAGGAATCCGAAGTCGCCCAAAATATTCGGTGTATGACCAAATAACATAAACTGCAGTGAAAACATCAAAACAACAAAAATGGTTTGGAAGCAAGTATAAATCAGTTCTACAGATCTTCAATGTTGGCAATACAGTTACTGGGACTTTGGAAAAAAAGAAACTTTAATAAAAATACTAACCAAACGTCTTTTGATTCATTAACTGTCAATAACGAAATCAGTATGATTTACATTTTTGCACGTCTCTTTCTTATGCTAGAAACTAATAACAATCCACAAGTTTTTTTTCTTATTTATTTTATGATTCTTTGATCACAACATACAATATTTCAAATTTTACATATCTTGATGACAATGCATTAAAAAATAATAAGCTTCAAAGAGGCAAAATTATAAAAAATGCAATACAATATCATGGGTTGTCCGGCTATTTCAGTCCAATTGATGTTATTTTTCACCCATCACATCCTGATGATATCTCAAGAAACAAGGCCTTAGTTGAGACCGACATAGCGGTACTCGACAAACATTACATTCGTAGTAAGACCGGCGAACCTGTCCGCCTCGAAATCGTTCATTCCTAAGCCTGCAGTATACACAGGGTTTTTGGACCCTATATGGAATGGGCACCAGATTGTGACGACCGATCCTATTGACACGAACCAATTCAGGATCCCCGTCTGAGAGCATCGTGGACAGAATGTTAAGTACTGTATTCTCAGAACTAGACGAACGTCTTTCCGATGAATAAGAAACATTAACTCCTATGTGAAAGATAGTCATAAAAAATTGAATGAATCAGCTTCCACAACAGTGATTACTAATGCACAACAGAGTTACAATAATAAAAACAATCAAAATGAAGTAAATGAATGAAACCAAATTTTAAAACTAAGATGACTGATAAACAACCCTTATACGTAATTAACAACCCCTAAACCAGACGATTTAGTCCTTTGTCCTTGTTTTAAGTGACCTGTTTTCATACTTAGAAACACAAGCTAATCACAGGACATCAATCAACAGATGAGGTAGATCCTTGATACTTGAGTTTATGATAACTTAAAAAGCACTCCCGTGACTGAAACCTACATAACGGAACATTACAGGTTTCGCAGTGATAAAAGGTCTGCTTTATATTTCCATTGGCAAATCGTTCTCCTGTTATTTTACAGTAGGCACAAACTTTCCTGGCTGGCATTGACTTCAGTGTGTGCCTTACGCGAACTTTACCCTCCTTTGTATACAACTCACATTGACCTTCTAAGTTATGTATGACTGAAAGTGGAGGTAGGTTAAGTTGTTGGTCAACAGAAAGTTTTCTTGGGGGTAGATCAGCTGGTTTCCGTGTCCATGGTGAGGCATGGGTCATTCTAGGGTCAACTCTCTGGACTTTTCCTGAAGAAAATGTAAAAGGACCATGTAATAATAGTCACTAACGTGATAATTAGTATGACGTGACAGCAAAAAACAGAACATGTACTCCAATACTGCATATGTTGAGATTGCTCTAAAGAACGTACCTTGTAAGCATGAAGTAAAATGACACAATATCCAGAAAATGTGTGGAAAAAATGCTGCTATCCTAGTAACCAATCAATGGAAAACACCCAAAGACAAAAGTTGACTTCTTTAAACAAATTTCTGAGAAATTCAACGAGGAAAACTATTAATTTAGTGACATTGTTTATTTCAAACAATAATACCATAATACATAATATTTTTCAAACTTTACATACGTGTACATGTCAAACTATATTCAATACTGCATTTTCTACCAAAATATTGCTATTATTTGATCAAATATCAAGCATACACAACACAAACTTATGTAAAAATAAATGCTAATAGTGAAAAAAAAACGAAACATCAGAATGTAATATTTATGCCAAATTCTGGGTTTGACAACTACTTGCGGAGCAGTAACACTCTCATCAGTTGAAATAATTATTTATATTTTAGAAATCAATTAATGTCTTCAAAGAAAATTCATTCAAGAAGAATTGGCGAACTTTAGTTGATGATAGTTTAGGAAGCAATCCCTTATCTGCGGTCGACAGAGATGTACACCACAGGCGTCACACTTATAATACGTCTGTCTTGTGTTCCCATTAGCAAACTTCTCTCCTGTCAGCTTGCAGTACTGACATACTCGAAGAGAATATCCAGTATTTGCCACTAAGAAATGTTTCACTGGTTCCGAGGACCCTGTTTTGGTGAACAACATATATCGCCCTTCCTTACTGTGGATTAAGGTTAAAGGAGGGTTGTTTTCGCCTTCAGCTATTGCGACAGGTGGAAGAGATCTTGTTCCACAGGGTGCTCTTGACCTTGAATATCTGTGTGCAACAAAGGTTCCAAGTCGCCGATTCAGACCTCCCATTGGAAATATTGCTACAACGAAAGCAAGGTCTTTATAGTTACATACGGTCGTGTTATGGACATCAGTGTACAGGGTGACTGAGATGATCGTGTAAGCAACTATCTATATATCTAATGCATGGTAAAGATGCAACTACTGCTGTCATTTCAAAGTTTATACTAAATTTATCCCAAGAATTTCCAACTCTACTCAAAAATCTAATCAGTATGAACACACCGTGTGGATGAACACCTTAAATCAACCATCATTACAAACTTTTGTGTTTTCTGAAATGTTTACCAGAAACAAATTTCCCTCCATATTAACCAAATAGTTTTTCTTTATACAAGCATGAGCCCACAAGAGACAACGAGGTAAGTCAACGAAACGAAACATTTATTCAGTATCAATTCAGTATCAATTACAATGCAACTTTTATATACAAACTACGTTAGTTTAATGTTCTCTTATTGTTCCTTGGCACGCTGGATTGTGGTTTATTATGTCACTCACAGCATAAATAATTAAATCTGACTGCAAAGCTAATCGAACTGGTATCGTTAACTCTACCCTTTTAATTTTTCTCAGAGTGAAAAGAGTATCCTTCTCTCTGGATTCCTTTGTGCCAGTTTAGGAAACAATCGCCAACAGAAGGTCTGCACAGAGTCATCTGGCACTGATCACATTTGTAGTAAGACGTCCTTGGTCCCCCAGAAGCAAATCGAATACCATGGTCTTTACAGTATGCACATGTCTTTTTCGTGTAACCTGGATGTGGTATCAAACGATGAATGGCCAAAACTCTTCCATCTGCAATCTCTTTTATTGGCGTGAACTCCGTCAGTCTCTTCCTTTTTCTGCGAAGCAGGGAATTTGAAGGTTCTGAAACATGAAGACTTTCTTGAAGGTCTTTTCTAGAATACTAAACCTTTTAACACTTTTCAATAATTTTTAAAGGTAACTTTTTTTTAAATTGAGATTTCAACTTGTAACACAATTGAATACCATCTACACTAAAGTGGAATAAAAAGTCACCATGATAAAACCATGTTTTATTATCAGAACTAATTTGCATCCTTACAAAACAAACAAACAAACAAACAAACAACGTCTCCTATTTCGGATACATAAAAAATCCAATATTTCTTGTTATATAACATGTGAATTTTAGCAGTCATTAGGAAATGTGTGTTCGTGTATTCCCTTAAATCTTTCATGCCACTGATAGAAACAGTTGCTGACAGACACTCTGCAGAGGGCGATCTGACACTCTTCACAGCGGTAGAAGGAAGTTCGGACTTTCCCGCAAGCGAATCGAGCATTCGTTGACTTACAGTAGCCACACATCCTTTTTGCATTACCCGGATTTGGTACAAGATTATGGTACCTCACATCACCATTGTTCAATGTCTGTACTAAAGATGCAACGATTCTCTGTTTTGTTGTACGCTTACATTCGTTCGTTTGCCGCAAAGTTCCGACTGAAACATGAGAGAGAATCGTTTTATTTGTTTTTCAGTTTGGAGAACTATTATTTCAAAAAGTGTATCAAGACATAAAGAAGATCGTTCATAAGACACATACAAAGTATGATAAAATAATTATAGAACCTATACAAAAATGAACTACCCAAAAAGAATTCCCAACCTTTCTGTTCCATGTTCTTATAAAGCTGATTCTAAACTTGTGTAAGTAGTTAAAATACACCTTAAATTTTAATCCAAAGCACTCAATCATCAATATTAAGAGCCATTCTCTGTAATGATTTGAAATTTTATATAGGAGCTGTGGCACGCATAGTCTCAGAATTTCTCCAAACTCTCTATGATAAAAAGCATTGATACCCTGAACTGAAATCAGGCAAAAATTGGATGCTATGTTTTATAGTTACCATGGCAACATGTCTTAAAGTTCGAAAAATGGCATTTTTTAACATGTTTAGTGCCCCATAGTTAACATTTGCGGCAAAGCAAACAATTGTTATTGACTGTTTCCAAAAGTTGAAGGTAAGATGTCTCAAATGCATGATAAACATGTTTGGTAAATCAACTATTACATACGTTACTATGGTAACAAAGTATTCAAAAGTAAAAAAAATATTCATTGAATTTTATGAAGTCATACTCGTAAAAATGAAAAGCAATTATAGGATGAAATGTTACCAAATAATAGAAAAAAGAGCCTTGAAACACATACCAAGAAAAAATATGATATTTCATTTTGGTTGGCAATGGTTGCCAAGGTTTTTATGCCCCAGAGAGCCTTCAAAGTAACACTATGTATGTTTAAATATGATCCTATTTTTTTAAAAAAGCACATTTCCTCATAACTAATGATCAATTTTATAAGATGTTGGTGTGCTCCAAATTTTCCCATTTCAAAAAATTCAGATTACATTCTTTCAATAGAGCGTTGCTATGGAAATAAGCAGAAAATATATGCTTAAAAACCTGAAAAATATTTTGTTTCCTTGGATACGTACCCTTAAATGTAGATTCCCAAAACTTTTATGATTGATATTTATTAACAGCTAACTTGACTTTTAATTTTGACTATCATCCAATCTCTAAGTGGATGCAAGAAGTTGGCACACAGGGTTTAATATTGATATAAAGTTCAAAAAATCGAACATTTTCCCTTCTTGGTAACCATAGCAACAGTGTTGTTTTATTCATCAAATTTTATCAATATATGATATTTAACTTCAGTTCTAACAGATAAGACTATTCCAGCTGAGCTCTTTAATTTGTTTCTTGATTAAATGGCAATTTAATTCTTAATGCAGCGGAAAAAAATTCACTTTTAAGCACTGGTACTTTGTTTCCATGGTAACACTACAAAGTAGCAATTATACCCAATTTTTCTTATGGTTTTGGTGTTGCAAGGTCCTATGGATGCATATTTGCCAGTCTTGAATTTTCATGTTTTTCCTCAAGACAGTAGCATTAACCCAATCTTAGTTACTGGTTTTGCATGGTTACACTGTGTTACCATGGCAACCATAAAAGTTATTTATAGAATAATATTGCTTATACTTATATACTTAAGGTCAAACATTTTCATTGTTTTTTCTTAAGTCAGTGATTAAGTTTTAGCATGTAACACCTACCATTAGTGAATATGGAGTGTTTTTCAGCATATTTCAGCATTTTAAATGTATTCCAAATGTACCCTTGGTTACCACTTACTTAGAGATATATTCTAAAAAGTTTCTTCATAGTATAAGTGACATCAAGGTGTCATGTTTTTGTTAGAATGGTTTGTTTGCTTTTTCTAGTTTTTATTAAGCCACAGTCAGGATTTAAAGTGGCTGAAAATCTCGATTTTTCAAACTTTTCCGGCTGTTGCCATAGCAACCGAGACACTTAGCAACGAAATTTTGTTTGATATTTGTTTCTGGTGTCAAGTACTAAGCATGGGTGAAGTTTCATCAAAATCGGTGACCATGCGTGGCAACGAAGTTTAAGTGGTTACATAGAATGGCAATTAATATTAAATAGATTTTTCTTAGTTTCCTTACACAATCAATGAATAACTCTTTAATCAACTGTAAAAGATGACTTGTTCTCCATAACTTCATGCCACCTGTAGAAGCAATCACTGACAGAAACTCTACAAAGCGAAACTTGGCACTCCTCACAACGGTAGTATGAGGTCCGAGCATTCCCGCATGCAAATCGAAAATCCATCTGTTTACAATAAGCACAATTCCTTTTCACATTTCCAGGGTTTTGCACAAGTCGATGACAGGTAGTAAGGTCTCCGACACCAATTCGTGCGAGTGCAATAGGTTCAACGTTTGGACGTCTCTTCCTTTCTTTTCTTGGAACTGAAAGACGAAAATGTGCCCTTAACATCGTATTGGCGTAAAACAGGAAAATATTTCTACTTCTACTTGAAGAATTCAACCATCAGTTTGGGGCATGCTGAACTCGAGATAGGTGATGACATTTATATTAACATGCTGGAACTGATACATGTATCGCTCATAGCAAAAAAGAACCACTGGTGATAAACTAGGATTTTCAAAGGCAAA